TTCTACTTATACAACCCAAATCTTCTAGACATGGACTGACGGACAGTGGTCCATCATAATTTACCACAAACTAAAGCCAAAAATAAAATTTTGGGCTACTTTCTTGGTTTTTGGGCCTTAAGGTCCACAAAATTGAGTTTGTTAAGATCATGTTTGTCTGACTCACAACAGTTGATGCATAAGCTGACACATATCTCCCCAACCGCTAGTGTAGTGGTACTTTTTTTACTTGTAGGTGAAAAATCTAGTTATACTATGTATTGTGTGGTTTAACACAAATCCATACTCCATGTCTAAAAAGAACATTTTACGACAACAAGCTTTCAATGTTATTGTATGTAGGTTTGAAGTTTGAATCTTCCATTTCCGTTGGTGAACATGAACACTTTTCTTGATTACATCCGACCAAGAAGAAACATTAATCCTCCAACGAAGTTGTTAATTTTGTTACTGTAGACATCAAAATTTCGGTGAAATGAATGTTGACCAATAATTAAAATTTCAACGCTCACGTATCACATAAATTTTACATGTAGCGTGTGACTCAACGAAAAATCGAAATAAATTGGAAAAGTCATCAAATAGGACACGTGTCAATACCTGGCAGAAATGATTTATTTCATCTGATTATTTAAATCCAAAAATCAAGTTTTGGAATTCTATAAATAGGAGGCCAAAGGCATTCATTTTGAAAAGAAGAAAGAAGGAGGAAAGAAGAAAGAAGGAAGAAAGAAGAAAGAAGGAAGAATGAAGGAAGAAAGGAAGAAGCCTTGAAACTCTAAAGCTCTCAAGCAAATCCCGAAGGATCAAGAAAGCACTCTTCGTTCTTCGTCAAATCAACCTTCAAGATCAAGCCCCAACGGCCCTTGAAGAACTTCCACCAACTCAAGATCAAGCCCCGACGGCCCTTGAGGAAAGTGTTCATCGTTCATCATCCATCAACCTTCAAGATCAAGCCCCAACGGCCCTTGAAGAACTTCCACCAACTCAAGATCAAGCCCCGATGGCCCCTTGAAGAAAGTGTTCATCGTTCATCATCCATCCTCCTTCAAGATCAAGCCCCAACGGCCCTTGAAGAACTTCCACCAACTCAAGATCAAGCCCCGACGGCCCTTGAAGAAAGTGTTCATCGTTCATCATCCGTTCATCCTAAGATCAAGCCCCAACGGCCCTTTGGATCAACAACCTCAACAAATCCACACATCCAATCGTCCTTCAAGATCAAGCCCAAAAGCCCTTGAAGATCCGCTCATCCACCAACCTTCAAGATCAAGCCCAAAAGCCCTTGAAGATCCGCTCATCCACCAACCTTCAAGATCAAGCCCCAACGGCCCTTGAAGAACTTCCACCAACTCAAGATCAAGCCCCGACGGCCCCTTGAAGAAAGTGTTCATCGTTCATCATCCATCCTCCTTCAAGATCAAGCCCCAACGGCCCTTGAAGAACTCCCACCAACTCAAGATCAAGCCCCGACGGCCCTTTGAAGAAAGTGTTCATCGTTCATCATCCATCCTCCTTCAAGATCAAGCCCCAACGGCCCTTGAAGAACTCCCACCAACTCAAGATCAAGCCCCGACGGCCCCTTGAAGAAAGTGTTCATCATTCATCAACTGTTCATCCTTAGATCAAGCCCCGACGACCCTTTGGATCAACAATTCATCCACAAACCTACACCCTTCGAAGATAGAATCAGAGGACCAAATTACAAAGAGATTGTAACCCTAAAAATCATTAATACAAAATATATATTTTGTACACGTATTCTTGTCTCTTGTGTTTCAGGAATTTCTCGTGTTTACAAATTTGGCACGCCCAGTGGGACCATCTCTACCTCTCATCTCTATCCTCAAATCATCAAAAACGCAAATGGCATCAAGAAAGGATCAAGCTGTTCCTGCAATCAAAGCAAAGAACAAGAACATCATCGCCGCAAGTGGTGATATTTCGGGCATCATAACCCGAAGTAAGGCAAGAGATCTTTTTGCCGCAGCTTCCGCCCCTGCATTAACTCTGTCAAAGGAACAAGAGCACCTGAGGTACGAGCCTGTGATCACCCTAGCCTCGCTAAGGGCATCAAAAGGGGAGAGCCCAAAGAAATACTCAGAGTCCCTACTCTCCGACGCTGATTCGAGCGGCAGTACAACCATGCAAGTCATGACCACTGGAGCAACTTCAATCGAGGAGCAGCTAGCTCAGATGAATGAAGCAATTGCAAAGCTCACACGGACTGTGGAAGAGAAGGACTTGCAGATTGCCGCACTCGTCAACCAACTAGATGCGCAGCTCGACGTGAAAGTCGACCCAAATGTTGGCCCATTAAAGAAAGAAGAAGAGGAGCCACCAGAGGAGGAAGATGAAGAGAAGCCGAAGCTAGACCAAGCAACGGCATCCATGAGATCTCTCTCTATCCAGAAGCTACAGGAGATGATCGCAAGCACTATCAAGACACAGTACGAAGGAAGCTCGCATGACTCCATACTGTACTCAAAGCCTTACTCCAAGAGGATTGATGCTTTGAAGATGCCAAGGGGTTATCAGCCCCCAAAATTCATGCAGTTCGATGGAAAAGGCAACCCGAAGCAACATGTCGCCCATTTCATTGAAACTTGCAACAATGCTAGGACAGAGGGAGACTACCTCGTTAAACAGTTCGTGCGTTCACTGAAAAGTAACGCTTTTGACTGGTACACTGACCTCGAACCTGAGTCTATCAACAGTTGGGACCAGCTAGAAAGGGAATTCCTCAACCGTTTCTACAGCACTCGTCGTACTGTAAGCATGCTAGAGCTGACCAGCACGAAACAGTGGAAAGATGAACCTGTCGTCGACTACATAAATAGATGGCGTTCTTTAAGTCTGGATTGCAAAGATCGTCTTTCTGAAACCTCTGCCATTGAGATGTGCGTTCAAGGCATGCAGTGGGGACTACACTACATCCTTCAAGGCATCAAACCACGAACATTTGAGGAGTTAGCCACCCGCGCCCATGATATGGAGTTAAGCATCAACCGTCATGGGAAGAAAGAACAGATCGCCGACTACAAGAATGACAAAGTTTTGGGGCCAAAGGTGGATAAGGCAACGTGGAAACCCACCAAGGAAGCAATGACGGTCAACACAACTCCAGTCAAAATCCCTACACGAAGCAAGGCGATTCAAACCGAAGCTTTTCGTGATCAAGAGATACGTAGACGCACTTTGAAGGAGCTTGAGGAGAAGACTTATCCATTCCCCGACTCTGACGTGGTTGCCATGTTGAAAGACTTGCTTGACAAAAAGGTGATCGACCTACCTGAGTGCAAACGGCCAGAAGATATGAACCGTACTGACAATCCAAGGTACTGTAAATTCCACCGCTTCATTAGTCATCCGACGGAAAAGTGCTTTGTGCTAAAAGATCTCATCATGAAGTTGGCTCAGAAAGGGATCATCGAGCTAGATCTTAATGATGTGGTGAAGACAAACTATACCACCGTCACTTCTGGCTCTTTGAACTCAAAATCTTCACCTCAACCGCTGGGGGCATGCTCCAAAACCATGCCAGTCAAGCCAAGTGAAGTTGAAGGATGGACTTATGTCACTCCAAAGAAAATGCACAAGAAACATAGGCCTCCTCCACAAGTTCGCCAATCGGAAAGGGGGCAAAGCAGCTACCGTCAACCTTCAAAGCTACATGAAAGTATTGAGGATGATGAAGTTATGACACAAAAATCGTCCGTTGCCATCATAATGCGCGATTTCTTCCCCAAAGACTTCTTCAATCACTCAGTCAAGACTCCTTGCTATGAAGATTGCAAGGAATGCCCCTCTAAGATCGTTTGACAAATTCAAAAAAAAAAAAAAGCTCCTCGTTCGCACGAGCCTAAAAGGCGACAACCAAAGCTCCTTGCCCGCACGAGCATAAAAGGCGACAACAAACGCTCCTTGCCTGCATGAGCTGAAAATGCAAACGGCACCAAGACGCTCCTGGCCCGCAAGAGCATAAACTGTGTACGGCAAAATCATCATCAAAACCATCACTCATTTGAACTACGTCATGACTTGATCCCTCCTCAACCAAGGGTACGTAGGCAACTTGAAACTTCAAAACTTCAAGTACAGTCACACCATCATAAAAAAAAATAATAATAAAAAAAATAAAAACGTTTGAACTACGTTTCGACTTGATCTCTTCGTTGGAAGGGTACGTAGGTAGCTCGAACGTTTAATTTTGAGTTCAGTCACATCAAAATGAGGTTGTAGTAAAAGTGACTAATGAAAGTCAATATTATTACGTTCTTTGTACAAAAAATTACATGTTGTTGGTTACAAAAGAAAAGAAAAAAAAAATACATATGTTACTATATATATATATATATATATATTCTCTACTCAAAAAAAAAAAAAAAAAAAAAAAAAAAAACATATGTTACTATGTATTAGAAAAAAAATATATTCTCTATAAAAAAAAAAATAATAAAATAAAAAATATAAAATAAAATAAAATAAAAAGAAAGCAAATGTCGACAGGCCCACAAAAAGATCAACCTCCACAATGCATAAAACTCCTTCAGGCTCCACGCTGGGCGCCGGCGACCTCCACACTCTCTCTCCCCTCTTCTTTTGTCGAAGCCTAACCCTAATTCTATCCCAAACTTCCCAGTGATTAATAGCTAAATTCGAATTCTTCATGGGCTGCATTTAGCTTCAGAAACTCGAGCTTGGAGGTCGCCAAGGAGTACAAGGCCAAGCAGAAGGCGCAGGAGATCGCAGCTCGGTTGTTGAACGGCGGGGATGCTAAGCGCCCAGGATCATCGATTAGCCTCACTACTCTCCGATTCACCAAAAACACCATCTGGGTTTCCACCAAAATACATTCACCAAGCCAAAGGCTGTCCTTTTTCCTCTTCTCCCTGCTAGTTTTGCTCCCCATCGCAAGACCAGATCTGCCTTCCCCCGACTGCAGTGTACCGCTCTCTCTGCTCTCTCTCCTCAGATCTCACAGAACGCCACAGCTAGGAATGAACAATAACAACAGCACTGAACAACCACCGTTTCGATCCCATCCCGCCGCGAAAAATGGCGACAAGTTTCCTCGTGTTTCGAGCAGTCCGTCGCTGAAGGCGCTCGGATCTCAAACGAGTATGCAGGAAATGATGAGTGCTCTGCTGCAGGATAGGAGTGAGTTCCCCATTTCCCGAGAGGAATCGACGATTTCTGAGCAGAATCCAAATGGGGAGACCAATTCCATGGATTAGAATTCTAGGAAAAGAAAATCAGTTTCCAAGGGAAAAGCAAAGGATCCTCCTCCTCCGTCTTCTTCTCGGTCGTCCGCTTGGCCGTAATGTCACTCAACAGCAGCAGTTGAGAGGATGGTCGTCACTGACGAGACCTTGGAGCTGATTGGCAAGTCCTTCAAGAATATGAAGCTCCTTGTGCTTTCGAGGGATTCAGTACTGACGGACTCGCCGCCATTGCTGCCAATTGCAGGAATCTACGGGAGCTGGACTTGCATGAGAGCGATGTGGAGGACCTGAGTGGGCATTGGCTCAGCCATTTTCCTGATACCTACACGTCATTTGTGTCCCTTAACATTTCTTGCTTGGGGTCTGAGTTGAGTTTCTCTGCCCTGGAGCGCCTGGTGGCTAGGTGTCCCAACCTGAGGAGTCTCCGGCTCAATCGTTCCGTGCCTCTTGACAGGCTAGCCAATCTACTTCGCCTGGCACCTAGGCTGACTGATTTAGGCACAGGGGCCTACTCAGCTGAGTGGCGGCCTGATGTCTTTACAATCCTATCACGTGCCATCTCAGGATGCAAGGAAATCAAGAGCCTATCTGGATTTTGGGATGTGGTACCATCATATCTTCCAGCTATTTATTCGATCTGCCCTGGGCTAACATCACTAAATTTGAGTTATGCCATAATTCAAAGCCCGGCTCTTGTAAAGCTTGTTAGCCAATGCCCGAATCTGCAGCGCCTCTGGGTATTGGATTACATTGAAGATGTTGGCCTTGATGCCCTGGCGGAATCTTGCAAGGATCTACGAGAGTTAAGGGTGTTTCCCTCAGATCCATTTGTGGTGGAACCAAATGTGTCCTTAACAGAGCAGGGCCTCATATCTGTTTCTGAGGGCTGTCCAAAGCTCCACTCAGTTCTGTACCTCTGCTGCCTCCACAACTTCGTCCTCTAGCGGCTCCTCGTCGTCAAATAACTACTTCGGCGCCGCTTCCGGTTCCACCCCAAGATTCCCCTTGCCGTCATCATCGTCAATGAACTGCTTTCCGTTCCAAAAGAGCTATCAGCCTTCCGTGACGGTGGAGGAGCACAACTTCTTTAGCAGTGAGGAGGCTTGTAGCTTCTTCTCCGATGAGCAAGCACCTTCACTTCAGTGGTACTGTCCTGATCAATGGTCTAAACCACCCTGTGAATTTCCAATCAAATCCAAGAGCTCTGCTCCCCTTTTTCTGCAACAAAAGAACATGAAGTCAGTAAGAGAGGTTAAGAGAAAGTGACGGAACACGACAAGGCACTTCTTCCTCTCCATCCATGCAGCTCCTCGCCTGCAAGACCCTCAGCTTCACTCTGGCCACCGTGGTCAAAATCGGCGAAGAACTTCAGTGACCGCTGTCAAACGACTAGCCGATCGTGAAGCTCGACGCTTTGCACTACTTCAAGCTCTGGCTGCTTCTGCATCTCCGCCATGGCTGCTGCCTTTGAATGTGATCAACAAAATCAAAGTTTGTCAACTCACACCCAAAGATCTCATTCGTCTGCTTGCCTCTGCTGCTGCCTTTGAATGTGATTGACAAAATCAAAGTTTGTCAACTCACACCCAAAGATCTCCTCTGTCTTTTCTGGGACTCGCCTGGGTTTTCACCCACGAACTCAACCTTGCAGATGGCTATATAAAGAAAAAAAAAAAAATGATGATGCGGGGAAGCATCTTTCAAAAGAATAATAAAAAAAAAAAAAAAAAATAGCAATGATGATGCTGGGAAGCATCTTTCAAAAGAATAATAATAAAAAATAAAAAATAAAAATAAAAAAAAAATAAAAAATAAAAAAAAAAAACAATGATGATGCTTCTGGCACCATCTGAAATATATATATATATATATATATATATATAATATAAAGGCTTCAGGCGTGAAGGCAAAAGAAAAAAAAAAAAAAAAAGGTGGCAATGATGATGTTGGGAAACATCTTTCAAAAAGAATAATAATAAAAAAAAAAAGATAGCAATGATGATATTGGGAAGCATCTTTCAAAGGCAGCATCAGCTGCCAATTGTTTAAATTAGCAAAATTGGAAGATGCAAGGCAGTGAGCAAAATGCAGTGGCCTATATGCGTGTGTGTGTGTACAAGTTTTGGAATTAAAAGTAAAGAAAGTAATGAAGGTCATCATTCATGTGTGGACATATTTGTTATATACAAGTTGTAATTTTGTAGAGTTTGAAACTCACACGGTGCCAGGCACACCGAGAGCAATTACAAGTGCGAAAAAAAAAATGTATCTAACAAAGAAAGAGGAAGATGGAGCCTTCACAAAGGTCGTTCACGTGAAGCCCCACTACTTGGCCAAACTCCAGGAGCGGGAGGCACCGAAGATAGATCATTCGAGGCCCCGATACTTGGTGGAACGCTGGATGATGCAGGAAAAAGGTGTCTCTGGAAAAAAGACGCAAGCCTTTGACGGTCACTTTGAATTCGACCTTGAGATTCTTGCATCTCATCAAGCTTCCTCTTCATGCCCGACGAATAGTTATTTGCAAGCACATGCAAACTTCTATTCTCGTACTTAAGCTGTTTAATCTCCTGCTTAAGATTTTCCACCTCTGCCATCAATGATTCCACTTGACGGGACCGAGCAAGCAGGCGTTGGCCCATGTTGGACACAGAGCCCGCACACTGAACACTAAGAGCGAGGGACTCTTGAACGGCCAACTCATCGGACCGTCCTGACAGCAGCCTACTATCTTTTGGAGTAAGGAGGTTCCTAGCTACTATTGTAGCTGTTGTGGCGTCCTGCATCACGGAGTCTTCACCTGTAAGAGGACCGTTAGAAGATAAGAAAGAAGGACACCATACATTACCTTGAAGCGGCGTAACCGGATCACTGCTGAGACTCAATTCTAAGCTAAGGTTCGATGGGTTAGCCATTTTTCAAAGGTGTTAAAAGAGATGGGTGGATGGAGTTAAAACTCAAAAGGCCGGAGATGATTTTCAGGAATGAGCAACCTTCGAAGTGTGCATGTTAGAGGTGATCAATACCTCTATAAAAACGAAGAGGCGCTTGCTCAGAAATCGAAGGGCCGCTTGTTCAAAAGTGAAGAGACATCGCTCTGCAAATCTCAAAAGCTGGATTTTCCGGCGTAAGTTAGGCGACGCTTTCTCGGCTTTCCAGAAAACGCGTTCAACTTTGTCAAAAGATCTCCGACAAAGTTGAAAACACGTGGAGGCTGGCGACGCTTTCGCGGCTTTTCAGAGCACGGGTGCCACTTTGTCAAAAGATCACGTGGAGGTCATCATCGCAGCTACACATCTTTAGCTGACAAGCGCAAAGTTCGGCGACGCTTTCTCTGCTTTTCAGAAAACGCGTGCCACTTTGTCAAAAGAGACGCTCGTTCAGAAATCGAAGAGGCGTCGTTCAGAAATCAAAGAGGCGTATTCAAAGATCGAAGAGTCGTCACTATTTCAAAAAGCCGAATTTGCGGGATCAAAACGTTTGTCGACAAGGGTAAAAGAACAGTACCACCACTTGCTATTGGGAAATCCCTATATATGTCGACCTTCATCTTTTATGGCAAGGCAAACCTGCAAACAAGAAAAAAAAAAATGCCCAACTCTTCCTCACCTCCGAGAGTACACTCCCAGCAAAGCATCTCAAAATGCTCAGTTTTCTTCCTCTCCGGGAATACCCTTGCAAACAAATGACACCAAGGCAAAAGTATCTCATATCATCAAGGGCGAAAGCAAAGGTATCTCATATCATGCTTTTCCCCTATCTTTTCCTTTGCCCTTGTTCTCACCTGCCAGGACAAGGACAGAGAAAGCAATATGTCGGAACCTCCACTCAAACTTGCGCTGCCACCAAGAAGTGATGGTCCATTCAAATGCAAGGTTTGCATTCAACTCCTGCATCAGGAACAAATAGTACAAGAGAAGATGCTAAACCTGCATAAGGAAATACCACTTCTGCAAAGGGGAGCAAGTAAGGCAAGTGAAAATGATGCATTGAAGCATGTGGAGACAAGCTACGACTGCATATGCTGAGCTATCCTCTAACCCTCTTCAATACGAATTGGAGAGATTGAACAAAGAAACAGAAAAAAATGAGTAAGCTCAGACCTTCGGGGAAGACCAAAAGAATCCTGCTGCCCAGTTCAAGAGTAGCACAAAGGAAAATCAACGATAGGGGGAGACCAAAAGAATCCTCCAGCCCAGTTCAAGATCAAGCCTCGATGGCCCTTGAAGAAATCACAAGTCCGATTCAAAATCAAGTGTTCACCACCCTTGAATCAAATTCAACTCCAGATCAAAGGAGTAAGTTCAAACCTTCGGAGGAGACCAAAAGAATCCTCCAGCTCAGTTCAAGAGTAAGCCTGCGGAAATCAACGATTGGAGGAAACCGGAAAATCTTCCAGTCGAACTCAAGATCAAGCCTCGATGGCCCTTGAAGAAATTTCCAGCCCAATTCAAGATCAAGCCTCGACGGCCCTTGGGTTGACATCTACATTAAGGGACTTCAAAACGCATCTTCTACACGTGACAAGCACATGTCTACGACGCGCCTTGAAATGGGGGCATTTGTAGACATCAAAATTTCGGTGAAATGAATGTTGACCAATAATTAAAATTTCAACGCTCACGTATCACATAAATTTTACATGTAGCGTGTGACTCAACGAAAAATCGAAATAAATTGGAAAAGTCATCAAATAGGACACGTGTCAATACCTGGCAGAAATGATTTATTTCATCTGATTATTTAAATCCAAAAATCAAGTTTTGGAATTCTATAAATAGGAGGCCAAAGGCATTCATTTTGAAAAGAAGAAAGAAGGAGGAAAGAAGAAAGAAGGAAGAAAGAAGAAAGAAGGAAGAAAGAAGGAAGAAAGGAAGAAGCCTTGAAACTCTAAAGCTCTCAAGCAAATCCCGAAGGATCAAGAAAGCACTCTTCGTTCTTCGTCAAATCAACCTTCAAGATCAAGCCCCAACGGCCCTTGAAGAACTTCCACCAACTCAAGATCAAGCCCCGACGGCCCTTGAGGAAAGTGTTCATCGTTCATCATCCATCAACCTTCAAGATCAAGCCCCAACGGCCCTTGAAGAACTTCCACCAACTCAAGATCAAGCCCCGATGGCCCCTTGAAGAAAGTGTTCATCGTTCATCATCCATCCTCCTTCAAGATCAAGCCCCAACGGCCCTTGAAGAACTTCCACCAACTCAAGATCAAGCCCCGACGGCCCTTGAAGAAAGTGTTCATCGTTCATCATCCGTTCATCCTAAGATCAAGCCCCAACGGCCCTTTGGATCAACAACCTCAACAAATCCACACATCCAATCGTCCTTCAAGATCAAGCCCAAAAGCCCTTGAAGATCCGCTCATCCACCAACCTTCAAGATCAAGCCCAAAAGCCCTTGAAGATCCGCTCATCCACCAACCTTCAAGATCAAGCCCCAACGGCCCTTGAAGAACTTCCACCAACTCAAGATCAAGCCCCGATGGCCCCTTGAAGAAAGTGTTCATCGTTCATCATCCATCCTCCTTCAAGATCAAGCCCCAACGGCCCTTGAAGAACTCCCACCAACTCAAGATCAAGCCCCGACGACCCCTTGAAGAAAGTGTTCATCGTTCATCATCCATCATCCTTCAAGATCAAGCCCCAACGGCCCTTGAAGAACTCCCACCAACTCAAGATCAAGCCCCGACGGCCCCTTGAAGAAAGTGTTCATCGTTCATCATCCATCCTCCTTCAAGATTAAGCCCCAACGGCCCTTGAAGAACTCCCACCAACTCAAGATCAAGCCCCGACGGCCCCTTGAAGAAAGTGTTCATCATTCATCAACTGTTCATCCTTAGATCAAGCTCCGACGGCCCTTTGGATCAACAATTCATCCACAAACCTACACCCTTCGAAGATAGAATCAGAGGACCAAATTACAAAGAGATTGTAACCCTAAAAAT